GCTGGTAGATGTAACTTCAGTACGAGGCACGTTGGTAAAAATAATATAATAAAGTATAGGCTCAGTAGACACAGAGGAAGATGATTCATTGGAGAAGCATCGATGTGGCATTTGTAAAAGAAAATCATGGCTCTCCAGTCTACTGGAATTTGAGGGTGTCAACAAACATGAAGAAGGGTGATCTAATAGATACAGTCTATTGAAAAAAAGACTTTGACAAGGTCATTTGCTCAAGGGTCTTAGGCAAAGAAAGGAGTCTTGGGATGAGAGGGAAGATTCTCTTGTGGTTTTTTTATCATTTGTTTAATAGACAGGAAACAAAGAATGGGACTAAACAGTTTGACAGTGGAGAGCAATAAATAGTATTCTCCCCCAAGGTTCTCTTCTGGGACCAGTGCCGTTCAAAGTAATCTGGAAAAGGGGGCACATTGTGAGTTAGGTTTCTTGGAGTCAGTATAAAATTATTCAAGTCCAAAGCTGACTGCAAAGAGGTTATAAAAGGATATCACAAAACAGGGTGACTGGGTAAGAAAATGGCAGTCCAAATTCATTGTTGGTAGAAGTAAGGTCATTCACACTAGAAAACATAATCCCAACTGTACTTATAAAATGATGGGGTCTAAATTAGCTGTTACCAAGAAATATTGGAGTCATTATGGATAGGTCTCTGAAAACATCTGCTCAATATATAGCAATAGTAAGGTCTCTGAAAACATCTGCTCAATATACAGCAGTAGTAAAAAAATGCTAGGAACCAGTAGGAAAGGAATAGATAATAAGAAAAATCCATGTACACCCACGCCTTGAATGCTGCATATAGTTCTGGGTGCCCAGTGTAAAAATGATACATTAAAATTGGAAAAATACAGACAAGGTGATGAGGGGTGTGGAACAGCTTCCAGATGAGGAGAGATTAAAAAGACTGGGTTTGTTCATCTTAGAAAAGACAACTGAGGGGGAGAGGATAGAGATCAATACAATCATTAACGGAGTGATGAAAGCACATGAGAAAGTGTAATTTACCCAGTCACATAACGCGTGAATCAGAGGAGACACGATGAAATTAGTAGGCATCGGGTTTAAAACAAGCATAGGGAAGTAGAGGTTGGACCTCTCTGGTCTGGCAGCCTGATTGATCCTGAAGGAGGGAATTTGCTGGGCCTGGGGAGATTGGCCCCTCTGCTGACGGACTCCGGGCTCTCCAGCCCTGGGCCAGCCCCAGAGCTGCCATGCCTACATAGGCCTGGGGGATCTGAGGTCAGCCATGGTGCCCCCAGAACTCTGGGGCTCTCTGGTCCAGCAACATCCATGGTTCCGCTGGACCAGGGAGTCCCGGACCAGACCGGTTCGAGCTGCACTACTTCATCCAACACATAAGCAACATGTGGAGCTCATGGGAACTTGTGAAGGCCAAAATATAATTGGGTTTAAAAAAATTAACTAACTTTACAGAGGTTAAGTCCATCAATGGCTATTCGCCGAAATGGTCAGGGAAGAAACCTAATGCTCTGGGTGTCCTAGAAGCTGGGACTAGACAACAGGGCATGGACGGGTTCATGAACTGCCCTGTGCTTTTCACTCCCTCTGAAACATCTTGCTCTGGCCACTGCCCGAGACACGACACTGAGGTAGACTATTGGTCTGACCCAGCATGGACCTGGTTATGTCCATTAAATCGAGCCACTGGTGAGATGGGCTAGAAGGATAGACTAAGAGCAATATTACGTAGAGATGGAGTTGTAATTTGATATGATAAGTTGTAAATACGTGAAAAGGGCAGTGATGAGTAGCCCAAGGTCTTAATGGGTCCCGAGGTGAAACATTGCTCAGGATCTTGCCTCAGTGGGGAATCGACCATCATTCTTTGCTGGCTTTTTCACTGGTAGTAAGCAACCAAGCCTCTGTGGGCTTAGGGAGAAACTTATGTCCTCCACTGATGAAAGCAGGCCCAAGTTTGTGCCGTATCGGTCCTTTCTCTCCCAATGGTGAACACAGTGTTTGCCACGTGGTACATCTCTGTGTGTACAAGGCAGGTGGTGACTCCATGGACAGGCCCACCGATGTGGAGGCAAAAGAGGCAGTTGCCCCGGAACCGGCATTGCAAAAGGGCCTGGGTCTCCTGCATCTGGAGCCCTGAACAATTTAAATTGTCACTAGAGGACCATCCGGTGCCCTCCGGGCGGCTCATAAGGCTGCCTAGGGAGGCGGGGCCTGGCAGAGCACCCTCCAGGTTGTGCTGAGGTTGGGGATCCCAGCACTGAGTCCCAGCTGCCTCTGGCCCCGCCCCATCCCCCGAGGCCCTGCCCCTTCTGGGATCATGCCTAGAGGCCCACAGAGTCTGTTGGCTCCCCTGTGCTCTCTCTTACTGGTGTTTCGCTTTCAGTGATAGGCCAGAGTGCATTATGGGGCTTTTAATGAACAACATCAGGTTCACGACAACAAATTAGCATGTGGCAGGCTAGTGTTCTATAGATGCATTCCCCAGCTTGCTATGCACAAAATCTCTGCATACACAAATGTTAACTAATCAGAATTAAGAAAGGTCAATGTAACCTGCTAAAGTATAGTGTGTGTGCTAATTATTTGACTAAGTCTACATGTGAAAAGTTAACAAAATGTTCACTATTTTCCCCGTCGATTCATTGTCTACAAGCTTATTTGGGGGTAAGCAAGCGTATGCTGCTTTGTAATGCATTCAAGACCTGGATCAAAGTTTGATGCCCATATCAAATCTTAGCGTTTTTTTTGTTATTTCTTCCAGTACTACTTGGCTTCAATAAAATCTGCAGGGACATGGTGTTTTATTGAAGACTAACATTGAGGAAATTGACCAAAAATGGTCAGAAATAAAAAGCTAAAAATTATGAGCTATTTTATGAAGTGCATTGGGAATATAATTTAAAACATTTCAAAGATCTTCTCAGCTCTTCCAAAAACCATTTTTCCCCTTGTTGAAGATGTCTTTACACTACATCTGGAATATAAAGACATCTTGGTATGTGTGTATGTATATAAAATAGTTTTACTTACATTTATATAAAGTCATATTTTATTAATGTTTAAATGTAAAGTATTGCTATATTCATAATTATAAAACACTATATACTATTAACATATAATATACGTATGCCTTTAAAATCATCAACGTGTAGTTATGGGCTTACACAAAATAATAACAATTCAGAGCTGTTAAATAACATTTATTGTCCATGTGTTGTGTGCATGCATGAGCACACGGATGAAAAATGATGTTTATATAAGCACACACACATAGAGATGAAAAATGAAAAGATATATGTATTATTAAAACTAACCACTGTGTTCTCACTGTTCAATAATATCATAGATCTGACTTTTAAAAAAAAATTGTCATCCTATTTCATTGTCATTTACCTTTCATCTAATTTGATCTCATTATTCTTAGTTAAATCACATACACTGCCGTCAGCTATTCCTTGCTCTTTCACAGTGTGTTCTCTTTATCTGCCTATGGACTCTGTCTTCTGTTATCAATTGGCAATGCTGTACATATTCATTCCTTTTTAATCTCCCTTCATAAATCAGTCCCTAGTGATATTGTTGGTTGTTGTTGCATTCTCAGTGTTTCCTCACAAAGCTGCCTAGCCATTGAAGTAAATATGCAGGGACCAAATCCCCCTCCTGCTGACATCAATGGGAGTTTTACCATTGATTCTAACGGGACCAGGTTTTGCCTCCGTTAAAAGAGTAGTAACAAATAACAGGCTTGCACTGCAATACTTCTTTCTTGCCCTTGACTATCTTGAGTATCTGCTTGACTAAGGGCATGTCTACATTACGGGGAAGACCAATACTGCCGCAGTTGAACTTCCAGGGTTCGATTTAGCAGGTCTAGTGAAGACGTGCTAAATCAAACTCAGAGGGCACCTCTGTTGTCATGGGTGCTCATTGTGAGCGGCAAGGGAAGCTGACGGAGCATGTGCTCCCATTGACCTCTCACTATGTGGATGGGGGTTTAAGATACGTCGACTTTAGCTACACAATTAATGTATCTTGAGTTGTGTATCTTAGGTCGACCTTCCCTTCCAGTGTAGACCAGGACTAAGTGTGGGACCACAGAGGGTAAACAGCTTGGTCCTACAAGGAGCTGAGACCCTGCAAGTTCTACTGACTATAACCAGAGCAGATGGCACTTGGTACTTCACTGAACAAATTCAGTGTCTTGTAGGTTCTAGCTATAAGAAAGCTGCTAGGTGAGATCTTTCCCTTCCTTAGCTACCTTTCAAAGGACAAGAAATGGCATCCCCATTCAAAATGTGTTGAAATTTCTTCACACCCTGGTAGAGGTGTCTGTTTGTTTATTCCACTGCCAAGATGCTAAAATAGCATGGCCCATATCAATAGACTTCTGTATGGTTAACATGCTGATCCCTGTGAAATATGCAACAATGGTCTAAAGGAAATTCAATGCATCCTTTGAAAAGGAGAACAGTGTTCTTCTGGATAAGAGACTAGGCTGAGTCCCAGGAAACCAGTGTTAAATTGCCAGGAATTCCACAGACTTCCTGTTTGACCTTGAGCAACTCAATTTTTCTGTGCTTTGGTTCCTCAGCTGTGAAGTTGGGAGGAATGATGCTTCCTAAGTCTGCTTGTGCTATTTTTAGATGGCAAATTCTTTGGGCAAATTCTTTTTTTCCTAGTGGTCTGCCCGATGCCCGCCCCTTTGGCGTTCCAATTGCAATTCACTCCAATAACACACCTGGAACATTCGTATTCTCTATTATTATCTAGGTATTATTTAGCCAGCGAAACAGCATGGCAGAAATGGTACCAAAGACAGTATGAACTGAATCCAGACCCGAAGCATAGAGCCCTGCCCGGATGTAGATACCTGTGGGTATAAAGTGGGTAGCCGCAGACCTGCAGAAACGTTCTTACTGAATGACGGGAGTGACGTGTAAGTCATTGTTCCCTCTACTCAGTTCCAACGGGTAAAAATTTCCTTTCTTCTCTCCTGTCAGGAAACGACAACAGTGAAGCCCTCCCTGAATCTCTCCCATCCGCGCCTGGAACACTGCCGCATTTTATGCAGGAACCAGATGACGCTTACATCATTAAGAGTAACCCTATCGCCTTGCGATGCAAAGCCATGCCGGCGATGCAGATTTTCTTCAAGTGCAATGGTGAATGGGTCCACCAAAATGAGCACGTCTCCGAGGAAAGCATGGATGAAAGCACAGGTGAGAATTGGGCAGTTGTGCTCACGTGGACATATCTGGGAATGCATGGCTTATTGGCAAAATACAGGAGGCAGGGGAGAGAGATAAGGTCTAGAGAGAGGGTGAGCTTTAGAAGGGAAGAATAAAGGACGTCTGTTTCGGGAAGTTGAGGACAGTGGCTCTTAAAAGACAGAAAGGGAAAGCAGTGAATGGAGAGAGTGTAGGAAACAGGCCTGCCGACGAGGTGGTTGTGCGTGGAGGGGCAAATACTGGGGCAGGCTGCAAGGCTCCTAGGCCTGCATGGGGTGGTATTGGTGAGGATGAATGCAGCTGGATAAGCTGCCAGAAGAATGTGTCCAGCCTACGTTGTCCTTACCTATACGCAGAATATGCAGTTGTGTAGGGCACCTGAAAATTTGGGGCTGTGTTTAGACTACAGGGTTTTGTCGACAAAAGTGGATACCTGCGTCCACACTGCCTTTGAGTTATGTCGACATAACTCAGCAGTTTTGTCGACGTATGTAAACCTCATTCTACGAGGAATAACGCCTTTTATCGACAGAGTTCTGTCGATAGAAGGCATTATTGCATCTACACTGTCCTTTGCGTCCACACTGTTATGTTGACAAAGCGGCTTGCTTTGTCGACGGAACTGGATGTAGTCTAGACGCACAGTATCTGCCAACCAGCCTGGCCGAGTTGGACCATCAGCGGTTGTGACCAGGGAGGCCAGGGCTGGAGGCCCACCTGCCTGGCTTGCATGGCTGGAGTTGCCCCCGGCCACCCGCACATGGCCAGGGCTGGGATAGCATGCAACTGCCCCCAGATGCAGCTGTGGCCAGCACACCACCCATCTGTAGCTGGGGCTGGAGTCCTTTGGGCTGTTCCCACGTGGCCAGGGCTGGACCACTGCTAGGCCACAGCTGGGGTCGGAATGTCACCAGGCCGGGGCTGCTCTGTGCCACAGCTGGAAAACGGACAGGCGAGGCACCACTGGGCCGTCCTGCCCCACGGCCATATTTCCAGTGGGTTGGGGGCACAGCTGAGTCACCCTATCCCATCTCTGGGCCACCTTTCACTGAGTCCGGCGCGGGTTCCCCCAGCCGATGCAGCCAGGGCTGCTCCCGTTTGCTGTGGTAGGCCGTGAAATCGGTTCCCAATAGGCCTCCAGTAAGCCTAATGCTTATCAGGTAACCGGTTACATGGTTAATCTCTTTCATCCCTACTTGGAAGGCTGTGGCAGTACTACTCAATTGAATAGCTTGAAGGCTTCCCCCCCTCCTCTTTGTGGGATATTTGGCAGCTAATGAAGTTAAGTGGTAGAATTGCATCTTGTAAAAGTGTGTATCTGGAAATAGAAAGTGAAGAGATGGAAGAGGGCTGAAAAATGATCAACAGATTTTATCATGTTCCTCGGCCATCAAATAGCCTCTTTCACTTTGAGACCTCTTGATACGTATATTGCAAACCAATTTAAAGCAGCACCCTCTTCTCATTTCACAATTCTGTTTTCTTTATTACCTTCCTCCTCCTGTTAAATCCCAAGATTGCTAGGCAACGCCATGTCTTGGGAATAGCTGTGTAGATATAACATTCTCTCCGTTGGTACAATACGTTCATTTTTTGGAGGGGAAGGGGGAAATGGCATTTAAAAAGAAGTTTCATATCCTAAAATGCTGGTGGAGTAAAGCATTTGTGTGTAAGGGACAGATTCTGAAGAGATTGCACGCTAAAGGCTTTTTGTAAATGCTCTTTAGGATGAATTTTAATCTTTACAGTTTCCGTTTTGAAAAGCATTTAATAGGCATAACCTTTACTTCCAAAGGCATTTCTGAATCAATATAGACAAAATGTCATTCCTAAATGTTTTTCTTCTATATGGTTAATGAAAATCTGTCTTGTCCACATTGCAATTATGTTTTCTAAGGCTTGGACTAATAGCAACATTGATTAAGATACATACATTTTTAAAAAATGCACACTGACAGCATGGAGATTTTTGAACTTAGTGGCTCAGGTGATTACAAAAGGGATATAGAACCTAAATGTCGCAAGCTTGAATGCTGTCAACATTAGAGCTGACCAAAATTGTTACTGTCTCAACATGGATCTGGTCAGAATAGTTTTTGTAAGGAACGACTCAGTGAATTGTGAAATCCACCGTCAGGATGTTGCATAACCTCGGTGATAGGACACATGAAATGTGAGTGAAGACTGCATACACAAAGCTGTAATTATAACAGAAAGTTTTGAGACAAATGAAAAATGTAAGTGTTCCACAATAAAAGTGTATAGGTATTTTTGCCTTTTTCATATGTTTGCATCTTGTATCTGGGAGGAGAGGGGGGGGAGGAGAATTTCTGGAACCTGGAGTAAACTTTCCAAAAGCACTGCTGACTTTCAAAATTTTACTCCCACTCTATTTGTTACCAGCAGTTATAATTCCCAGAGAGGATTTCCAGGTGTGCGTCTTTATTCTGATAAATGATATTTTATACCTCTACCAGAAAGTGGTACCAGTGGAATCTTCAATTTAAAGGTTAGAAAGGAAGATGCCAATCATTCCAGGAACTAGACTTGTGAGATATTAGGTACATGTGTATTACAAAAGTATCTATAGGTGGGACACGAACACTGGGTAATAACAGTGTCTGTACAACCTTGCACGTTCTATTCCTTTGGGCTAAATCAGGTAGCACAGGTATATTCTTTGTTTACTTCCAGAGGGATCTGTATACAGTTTACAATATGTGCTAAACAAGCATGCAATTAGTGTACGACTTTTAGTTCTTGGTGTGTCCGCTCAAAGCGGAAGCCATACTACTTTTTGGCTGATGCAGTATTATTTATTATTGTCTAAAGGCATTGCCGATTATAGCATACTGTCACCAGCTAATAAATACAGCATGACTTTATAAAAGTGCACTTGAATCTTCTTGCTAGGATGAAGATACAGAAGTAATTTTTGTTTCACTTAATCATTAGATTTTTTTAAACAAAGCTAGTAAGAAATACGGCACCTCTCTTTTTTAATTATCCACATTTAAATTACTGCTACCAGGGTTCCAGACTGCAGACACCTAATCTGCAGAATGGATGGATGTACTCTTAGCTCAGGAAACACTGTTGGAACAGCTGACATATCAAGCATTAGGAGCTGCGAGGTCCCTTTAATCTCAAACGTGGGTAGTTTTTTTTCCTCATTTTAATGAGATACACAAGAGGTAGAATTGTATTTCTGTCTCTAGATGCTTTATAGCAGGGGAAAGTCTCCTTTTGTGGTCCTTGGGTTCTGAGGCATTCCATAGTCTTCAACAATTAATGCTACAGAGGGTTCACTTCTCAGAGCCTGTGATGAAAATACAATATGTCTGAAAGTGGGTGACAGCTCACGAATGTGATCACTTGTTCTGATTCTTGATATTTAAACCTGAACCAGATAATGGCTGCTACTGTGATTTATCTTAGTCCTTAATTTTTAACAGGTAGGCTAGCATGGACATAAGAGCGGCCATCCTAGGTCAGACCAAAGGTCCATCTAGCCCAGTGTCCTGTCTTCTGATAGTGGCCAATGCCAGGTGCCCCAGAGGGAATGAACAGAACAGGGAAACATCAAGTCATCCATCTCCTGTCACCCATTTCCAGCTTCTGACAAACAGGCTAGGGACACCATTCCTATCCATCTTGGCTAATCCCCATTGATGGACCTAACCTCCATGAATTTATCTAGTTATTTTTAGAACCCTGTTAAAGTCCTGGTCTCAACAACGTCCTCTGGAAAGGAGTTCCATAGGTTGGCTGTGCATTGCATGAAGAAATGGCATTGTGGATACTGGGCAGGCTTCAGTTTTGGAGAGGTGTGTTTGGAATTATGGCCAAGATTGGGTCCTTGTCATTCAATGAGAGTCTCTGGAACTTGCAAACGCATGACACATTAAATGAAAGTTGATCCTTCCCTCTCCACCTTTCTGCAGGCAGGGAGTATGAACATTGCGAAGGATCAATAAAAGGATGATGACTAAAAGCAGGGGGGAAAAAACACCTCTCAAAAATTCTAAACAAGGGAAAATTTAATAAAGCAAGAATATACCTCTGTAGATTCCTCCCAGCAAACTCCTACCCAGGTGTATCCAAAAAGCACTTGGCAGTGGTCACAAAGGCCCAATGTTCCTTATCGGTTTTATGTACAATTCATTATTACACTTGTCTAGAAAGGTAGGAGGGACAGCTGGTAGTACTAGTACATCAGGCTTAATTTGGCACCACAAAGAATATTAAATATGATTTCCCTAACTTTGGTTTTACAAAGCAGCAATAACAGCCTTAGAATAAGACAAAGATGTCTTTGTTGATTTGAAGACACTAGAACTAGTATGAAGGAAGGAGGCCTTTGGTTAAGGGGCTGGTCTGGGACGGATGTGGGATCCAGTCTCAGCTCTGCTATAGCCTCCTTGAATCATAGAATCATAGAATCCCAGGGCTGGAAGAGACCTCAGGAGTCATTGAGTCCAGCCCCCTGTCCAAAGCAGGACCAACCCCAACTCAATCAACCCAGCCAGAGCTTTGTCAAGCTGGGTTTTAAAAACCTCTAGGGATGGAGATTCCACCCCCTCCCTAGGGAACCCGTTCCTTGTGCGATGTTGGGCAAGCCATCTCTCTCTCTCTGCTTTGGTTCCGGATTTGAAGAGCATGTCAAACTTCCTTTACCTCCTCCTACGTTTGTCTTTAAAAACGAGTAGTCTTGTGGCACCGTAGAGACTAGCCCTGTGGCACCTTAGAGACTCACAAAAATAGATATTGTGCACATAGGTCCCGTGCTTCCGGCAGACAGTGTTCAGCCTCAGAGACTCGCTGTGCCCCTCCACGCGGCCTCTTCTTTTTTTTGGAGGCAAGGGTCACAGCCTGCTGAGCCATTCGCATCATAGGCAAGTCCGTAATATGGAGCGAAACCCCGGTCTCCCTATCCAGGGGCAGATCCTGTAGTTGGTGTGTGGGCGATTGGAGGGAATCCAGGCCCGCCC